AAGACTAACAATTATTATAAAATATTAAGCAATTAGTAGAGCTGTGCATAGTACACTAGAGGAAAATTATCATACGAAGGTTTGATATAATGCTCGAAAAAAATTGTTGAGGGAATGCAAGGCCCAAAGGAAATTTCAGAATACATTAAATCTAAATACAGTATAATAATTTTCAACCTAATTGCTTTATAAGTCAATCGCTGTCTATTAGTGTTACTTTTGATAATCAACCGTTGTAGCAGTCATCGGTTGCTATAGTGATATGATCATACTGCTGTGCATGTGTATTACATTTAGCCGTGCTTGCGTATGCTAATATGCTTCTGCAGTACGCGCTAACACACAGTTATAGAGCGAGATATTACACATCAGTTCAGATACAATGAATATTAACTATTTTATTGTGCTTGAATAACTTGTAATACTCTTTTGATAAACATTCGACAAAGAAATAAGAATTCCTTAAAGCATTTGAGAGAATACACAGGGCCCTTATCACTTTTTGGGCGGTGCAGATAGGAAAAATCGTGTGATCGTTTAATCTCCATGCTAGGGCTAGGAATATGATCTAGGCCTCGGTCTAGGCCATGGCGGCCTCTTGCCTACAATACATTTAATTTCGTTCCCCGAGTCTATAAAATAGGTTTAGAATATTCCTATTAAATGTTCATTCTGTATTATTAGGGTCCATTGATTCAAGGAATTCCTTAATATTTTATACTTACAGTAATATTGAATTTTAAGTAACTTTCTTCGGGTTCTAATAAACCTTATTTTACGAAAGTAATTTATCAAATTGAGTCTTTAAAATAAGCCTAGAATATTCCTATTAAATGTTCATTCTTAAGTTTCTTATTAGGGTCTATTGAATTAAGAAATTCCTTAATTTTTCATACTTAATACTGTACTGAATTTGAAGTAACTTTCTTCAGGTTCTAATCAAGCTTGTTTTACAAATTTTCAATTACCACTTATCAACAAACAACAATTGGGCGAGTCCTGTCCTTTCTTTCCGCAGACGCGCGTACTGTAGTAGTAGTGCTAGATGTAAAAACACTAGCCTAGCAATCGTTGGGGTGATGATAAAACAAGGGGTTTTTTTTGCACACGAACCTAATAAAAATCAAGCCAAAGCGTGCACTATTTGAACAAATGTATACGTCACGACTCACTTATACAGTAATAAATATTAAGACTTCAATGGAAAAGCTTCCCTTTTACAAATCAACATTAAAGATGTAAGCCTGGTTCACGTCAAACTTTATCTAGATATACCTGTCTTGAAACATGATACGATAATCCCCTAATTGCGTTCGATGCCAAGTTAGAGCCAGATAAACAGCCAGCCAGTTTCAGGCCGTCGACGTCACACGGTGGAAAGGCTTGTTTAATAAAAAATCTACTGTATTTTACGAACCTCTAGTACCAAATGGTATTCGTTCAAAAAAATTGTAAACTACTGTTGAGAAAGTGTGAGTTTCCACTACCTAACCTAGCCGACCAGTACGAACCAACGACCAGTGCAGCAGCGTGTTCTATCACAATCTAAGTAGTAGATTCTCTAGGCGCTAGCTAAATTGACCTTCGATAAAAAACGAATTATTTTAATCGCTAGCTAGCATTCTTCCATTTAACAAAATATTGTTTTAATTTTCATTAAAACGTCTGTATACTTTATGGACCTTTCTGTCCTGTTTTGCAGTTTTTAGATCGCTCAATTGTGTTGTTTACATGCACTTTATGAAAATCTAGCTTCGCTGTGTTAAATAAGTGGCTGAATTCCACACACTTTTTTATTTTGTTATCGTAAACATGTGCGCTTATTTTAACGACTGGCGTTGGTGGTAGTTCGTTGAAACTGAA